CAGGGCCTAAGCAATATCCCTGAGCTGCTGCTTCTTTTTTTAAAGCAACAAATGTTATTTCATATTCATGCTTCTTGTCCTTTACAGTCATCATGTCTTCAGCATCCTCATACAGGGAGGGAAAGGAACCACTGTCTGGATCATTAGCTGGCAATTTTCGCAAGTGAGAGAATATTGTTTATGTGAGTCAGCCTCCCATCACAGTGACAAAATACTTCATCAAATCAACTTAGAGAAAAGTTTTTTTAGGCTGTTATTTTTTTGAGAAGAGTTATTTTGACTTAGGATTTCACAAGTTTCATGGCCAATTGGCCCTGTTCCTTTGGACTTGTGGAGAGGCAAAATATGATGTCATGGAGTACATAGTATACTTGTCATATGGTAACTGGGAAGCAAAGAGAAGAAGAGAGGTCAGTCCAAATATTCACTTTAAGGGCATGTCTTATTCTTCTAACCTCTTTCTACCAGCCCTGAGCTTTTTTTCCCCTCAAGGCTAGCACTCTACTACTTGAGCCACAACACTTCTGGCTTTTTCTATTCATGTGTTACTGAGGAATTGAACCCAGAGCTTTCGTGCATGCTAGGCAAGCACTTTACCAGTATGCCACACTCCCAGCTCCTACTTTTTTTTTTTTCCTAAATCTGAGATAAGTCACAATGCCCTCATCTGAGATCCTCTTGCATCTACTCTCCTGATATTACAGGAAGTACCTCCATGCTAAAACCTAACAGTCTCTAAAAAATATAATATTTTAGGTGTCTCAAGCTCTCACTCTGCTTTTGCACTCATGTCTGATACTCTACCACTTAAAACATACCTCTTTTTTCTGTCTTTTTGCTGGCTTACTGGAAATAAGAGTCTGACTTGTCTGCACAGCTTGGTTTTTGCTCAAGGCTAGTGCTCCACTCGTCTAGTTAATTGAAGATAAGAGTCTTAACTTTGCTGCTCAGGGCTATTTATTTATTTATTTACTTATTTATTTATTTATTTATTGTCATCATGGGGCTTGAACTCTGTCTGGGTCTAGACGTTGTTCCTTAGCTCTTCAGCTCAAGGCAAGTGCTCTACCACTTGAGGCACAGTGCCACTTCCTGCTTTTTCTGCTTATGTTGTGCTGAGGAATCAAACTCAGGGCCTCATGCATGTGAGGCAAGCACTCTACCACTGAGCCACCTTCCAGCCCTCAGGGCTAGTTTTAAACTATGATCCTCAGTTCTCAGGCTCATAAGTAACTAGGAGTCCAGGCGTGAGCCTGGCTTGTGATTGGGTTTTTTTAGATGTGCTTCTTTTTTAATTATTCCATAAATATGGGTTTTTAGAGTCAAGTTGCACAGCTTTTCATTTGTTCTTGCTTGGAGTATAGTTTCTGCAAGATGGAACTGGTGGAGACTAGAACTATTGACAGCCTCTTAGGACAAATAGCCAAACTTTAAAACAAGGAAAGAGGGAATGGTTTTAAAGGTATAGTTGTCCAACCCTACCAAAATATTTGTGCATGTGTACATGTGCATGCATGCGTGCGTGCGTGTGTGTGTGTGTGTGTGTGTGTGTGTGTGTGTTGTGAACTGTGATCCTCAGATCTCAGCGTCTTGAGCAGCTAGGATTATAAGTGTGAGCCACTGGCATCAAGTTTTGGCCTTTAATTGTTTTAGGGTTGTGGTAATGTTACTGTTACTGTTACTGATATCACTTGGGGACTTACCTTTTTTCACTCAAGGTTGATGCTCTACCACTTGAGCCAAAGTTCTATTTCTAGATTTTTGGTGGTTAATTTTTTTGTTTGCTTTTGTGGAGTTTCTTTGGTTTTATGCTAATCCTGGACCTTGAATTTAGGTGCAATCCTTGAGCTTTTTTGCTCAAGGCTAGAGCTCTATTACTTGTCACAGCTCTATTGTGGCAATTGGTTAATTGTAGATAAGAGTCTCACAGAATGGCCTCAGCTGGCTTTGAACTACTATCATTAGATCTTAGTCAACTGATTACCTGTGCTTATTGGAAGTAAGTTGTTTCATAGACTTTCCTACCAGGATGGCTTTGAACCACAATCCTGAGATGTCTCAGCCTCTTGAGTATGTAGGATTCTTCATCTTTATCTTTTGTCTTTTGTGTCTTTATTTTTCTTTGGGGGGGGGGTGTATGTGCATATATTAGGAGTTTAATTATTAAGGGCCTCAGTTATTTTACCATTTGAGTCAGGTATACTTTTCAGGTTTGTTGGGTTATTGGAATGAAAGTGTCTTGGGTTTGTCTGTGCTGGCTGTTTTCAAACTTTGATCCTCAGAGCTTAGTCTTAGGACTATAGGCATGAGTTATCAGGGTTTGGGTATACTTATTTTTTTTTGTCAGCTGTGGGGCTTGAACTCAGAACACTGGTGCTGTCCCTGAGCTCTTTTGTTCAGTGCTAGCGCTCTACTATTTTGAACCACACCACTGATTCTTGTTTTCTGGTGGTTAATTGGAGTAACAGTCTCATTGGCTTTCCTGCCTGGTCTACCTTTAAACTGTGATCCTCAGATGTCAGCCTCCTGAATAACTAGAATTACAGCAAGTACCTGGTTTAGCTATACTTCATTATCTTTTCTTTTACATTTTTACTTCTGTGCTTGTTATTAGAATGGCAACTACTTTGAAAACCTTTTAAGAATTTGGATTTATGTAAGGGGCAAGAAACTATCATTTTATATTAAATCAAAGATTGTAGCTTCGGATAATACTGACTCAGGGAAGTGTTGTAAGAGCTACTTTTCACATTGAGTGGTTGAATTATCATCTGTCTAGCAAGTTAGTGATTATGAAGAAAAAGTGAAAATATTTATTATAACATGTAGTAGTCCTAAAAAATGTTTTTGTTTGCAGGAAATCAAATTGGTTTAACATTTGTCACTGTTTTGAATAACTGTCTATATCAGAAATATAGACAGCCAGTGTCTTTCCACAGTGTCAGAATTTATTGAATAACAGTAAATTCAAAATCTGTTTCAATTTTATTGGAGTCCTTTATAATGTAGGTGGCAACATAGGTTCTTTCACTCCAGGCTTAATTGGATCACACATTACATTTCATAGTATACAGAGTTTTTTTCTTTTTTGGGGGGTGGTACGTTAATACTGGGACTACATTGCAGAACCTTAAGCTCTTGATTGGCTTTATTAGAGTAATAAAAGCTAAAGAAGGCTACAGAAGGCTAAAGAGGCTACAGAATTGAGAGGTCTCTGGTGAAGGCACAGGGAGTACTGATAAACATAGGAAAAAAGTTTTCTGTAGGAACTGCTTACGAATTTTTACCAACTATAGGTACAGAGTTATCAAATGTAGGTCAAAGAGTTGGAGAGCAGATGAATGGAGAGAGAAAAAAAAAGATAGACAAATATAGACATAATACCCAATGTATGTATGTATATGTATATGTATACATATGTATATGTATATATATGTATATGTATGTGTATATATATATATATATATATATATATATATATATATATGAAAATGGAATCAGGTAATTTGGGTATTGATGGGGTTGGAAGAGATAAAGGAATAATGATTAAAGACATGACACTGATCAAGATGTGCTATATGAATAAACTAATATGTTGAATTGAAATCCTTTTTGTATAACTAAAAAAAAAAATAGATAATTAAAAGGGCAGTTCTGGGTAGACTATTTCCAGTGGCATTTTCAAGTACATCCGGCAGAAGAAATTACACTTGCTAGATTGAAGTGAGGGCCAACAGCAGAGGTTTGTTATTTTTGCCAGTTAACCTGGATGAGGCTCCAGGTGATAAGGTTGGTGTGCCTGCTGCATCTCAGATTGGGGTTCTTTGTTTTGATCTTTTAAATTGTGATGATATGCAGAGGGGTTACCATTATGTAAGTTAGGTAAAGAGTACATTTCTATTGGACAATGTAACCACTTCCCTTAATCTTCTGGTTTTTCCCTTTTCTCCTTATGTACAACTTATATAGTTCATTTTCAAAATAGTGTCTAATAGTATCTTTTTTATTTGACTGCCAGTTCTGAGGCTTCAACTCTGTCCTTATTGCTGCCTGAGCTCTTATGCTCAGGGTTAGTGATGATCACTTCAACCTGAGATCCACTTCTAGCATTTTTTGTATAGGAGTGTTTAATTGGAAGTAAGTGTCTCAGGTACTTTCCTGCCCTTAATCCTGAGATCTCAGCCTCTTGAGTAGCTAGAATTATAGACTTGAGCCATCAGCATCCAGCTATTTATATTATTCTTCATTCATTGTCGGTCATGGGGCTTGAACTCTGGGCCTGGGCATTGTCCCTCAGCTCTTCAGCTCAAGGCAAGCACTCTGCCACTTGAGCCACAGCACCACTTCCAGTTTTTTAGTAGTTAAGTGGAATAAGAGCCTCACAGACTTTAATGCCAGGGTTATCCTTGAACTGAAATCTTCATGTCTCAGCCTCCTGAGTAGGATTAGAGGCATGAGCCACCAGCATCCAGCTTGTTTTTAATTTTTAATTTTTGGTTGCAGGTGATGATTCAGGGCCTCATAATCTTCCTTAGACTTTTCATTCTAAGGCTTTGGGCTCAACCACTTGAGCCACAGCTCCACTTAGCTTTTTATTAGTTAATTGGAGATAAGAATTTGAATGGAGATCCTCCATATCTCAGTATCCTGAACAGTATTATAGGAATGAGCCACAGGTACCTAGTTTATATTTTTTTGGTTTTTGTTTTTGCTTTTATTGGGAGCTGAGCAGTTTTATTAATAATACTGGCAGCCTATGTTTGTAATCCTAACAGCTTAGAAAAATTCTGTCCCAAGTAAGTAGCAGTGTGCCAAAATGAAGGCATAACTAAAGTGGTACAGTGGCAAACATAAGCAAGAAAGTCCAGTGAGAGCTCAAGTCCCTGAGTCCAAGACCCCAGTATTGGCACACATACACAAAATATTGACAATTCTTTTTGAAATATTTCTTTCTTACTGTAAAATGGGACAAAATTTAATTATTATTTTTCCTTTTCCAGCATTATCCGCATATCAGAGATACTACAGTTTACAGTCTGATTACTGGAAGGTTAGTACAAATTTGAATACCAATTTTGTTTTATTTGTGGAGGTAGAATGTAATCAATATATTTTCCATCTTTTTTAACTTTTATTTTTTATTAATTAAGACATGATTATTATAAAGCTAAATAATACATTTTTTGGACACTGTTATCCCTCCCCCACTCTACCGGTTTTCCCTCTTATTCCTCCAACAAATTGTATACTTTGTTTCCCACATAGTGTCTATCTAGTACCCCTGCTGCATTTGTTCACCCCTGTCCCTCATTTTATGTGTCCTCCCTGCCCTCCCAAAGACAGATTAAAAAAAACAAATAAGGAAAAGAAAACAAAAACAGCAACAAAGAAAACTCTTGTTTTCATTTCCTGGAGCTCATTTTGATAAATATTATTTTATATGATCAGAAGCATATAGACATTTTGCCTTTGTGTTCCTCTTCTAAAAGTAAACTCTTTTGATCTTACTGTAAATACTTAGAATCCTGTATAATTTATCATGTCCCAATGTACTTTAGCTCTAGATTCCACATATGAGAAAAAAATTGCATTGTTTCATTTTATTAATCACAAAATAATAGTTATAATGATGGACTTTCATTTGCAGGGAATGAATCAGTACTTTATTTGTCTTTTGAGAAAAATACATTTTTTGTGAGCTTTTTTTTGGGGGGGGTCCGGTCGTGAGGCCTGAACTCTGGGCCTGAGCGCTGTCCCTCAGCTCTTTAGCTCAAGGCTAGTGCTCTACCACTTGAGCTATAGCGCCACTTCCGGCTTTTTTCTTTTTGCTTATGTGGTGGTGAGGAATCGAACCTAGGGCCTCAGGCATGCAAGGTAAGCACTCTACCACTGAGCCCACTTCCCAGCCCCTAGTGAGCATTTTTGATTACAGTGTGTTGATCTTTTTTTTTTGGTAGATCATGTAGCTTTAACTCTGGGTGTGGGCACTGTCCCTTAGATCTTCAGCTCAAGGCTAGCGCCCTACCTCTTGAGCCACAATGCCCACTTCCAGCCTTTTCTGTTTACGTGGTGCTGAGAAATCGAACTCAGGTCCTCATGCATATGAGGCAAGAACTTTACCACTGAGCCATCTTCCCAGCCTAGTCTTTATTTTTATTTTATTTTATTTATATGGAATGTGTCATCCTTGCACAGGGGCTATGTAATCTCTATATTACTTAGGCCTTTAGTATATATTCTGTGGAAGCATATGGCATGTCTTAGTCATAATTAGTATTGTTATGGTTAGTACCCTATTATAGGCAGAGAGGCCTGATTCTAGAGGACATGAGAAGGAGGTTTCAACAACTTAGTCTAGCTACTAAGTAATACTGGAAAAGCAGGAAAATAACTAAGTCACTGTGCAGTTTTGGAATGCAAAAGATGGAGCATCCTAACCTGCATTCGGGGTATTGATATTCTGTTTTAGGTTTAATTACAGGAAGAATTGATGCAGGAAGTAAAAGCAGTCTCAGTTCTCATTATGTTGCTCTTGTACTTCATGAACTACAGGGATGTCTATCCAGAGAAGTCCTTGTCTCCTGGAGATAGTTTAGTTCTCAAAAGTTTTGCTGCTTGAAAAGCAATTTTGAACAGGATTATTTACTCTCATTTTGAGAGAGGATGTTTACAACCTGAGTGTAAAGCTACACTTTTTTTTCCCAGTCATGGGACCTGAACCATTCTTTTTTTTTGTTTATTTTGTTTTGTTTTTGTTTTTTGTCAGTCATGGCTCTTGAACTCTGGGCTGGGCACTGTGCCTGAGCTCTTCCACTCAAGGAGAGTTCTCTACCATTTGAGCCACTTGCCATTTCCGGTTTTCTAGTGGTTTATTGGAGATAAGAGTCTCACGGACTTTCCTGCCCAGGCTGGCTTTGAACCCTGTTGGCTTTGAACCACTGTTCTCAGATCTCAACCTCCTGAGTAGCTAGGATTACAGGCGTGAGCCACTAGCGCCTGGCTGCTGCTTCTGCCTCTTCTTCTTTTTCTTCTTCTTCTTCTTCTTCTTCTTCCTCTTCCTCTTCCTCCTCTTCCTCCTCTTCCTCCTCTTCTTCTTCCTCTTCCTCTTCCTCTTCTTCTTCTTCTTCTTCTTCTTCTTCTTCTTCTTCTTCTTCTTCTTCTTCCTCTTTTCCTCCTCCTCCTCTTCCTCTTCCTCCTCCTCTTCCTCGTCTTCCTCCTCCTCCTCCTCCTCCTCCTCCTCTTCTTCTTCTTCTTTTTTCTTCTTCTTCATCTGTTGTGGGGGCTTGAACTCCGGCTAGGTGCTATCCCTGAGCTCTTCATTTCAAGGCAAGCACTCTACCACTTGAGCCACAGAACCACTTCTGGTTTTCTGGTATTTAATTGGAGATAAGAGTCTCAAGGACTTTCCTGCCCAGGCTGGTTTCAAACCAAGATCCTCAGATCTCCTGTGTAGCTAGGACTACAGGCCAGTTAAAATTTTTCTAACTGAGGCTTCTTGAACTCAAGTACTAAGCACTGCCCCAGGGCTGGTTCAGGGCTAGCTACTTGGGAAACTGAGATCTGAGGATTACAGTTTATAGCCATCCCAGACAGAAAAGTCTGTGAGATCCTTATCTCCAGTTCACCAGCAACAAGGGCCTGGCACAAAAAATATTTTTATTGATAAGTTGAAAACAAATCAAGCATCATTTGGAAAGATACATTGCTCAACTATTATATCTAAAGTATGTTATTGCAAAGAAGTTGGATTTAAGTAAGGCATATTGCTTAATCCTTAAATATGTTTATTTTACATTATTTTTTGGACAGCTGATATTTCACATGCTATATAGGTATATTAGTTGAGTTTTGTATTGGACACTTTGACAGTGCAGCTCTTGAGTTTTTACTAAGATTTATTCCAGTGGCTCACACATAATCCTAGCTATTCAGGAGGCTGAGATCAGAGGAGTTTGGCATGAGTCTATGAGTCTATGAGACTCATCTCCAATTAACCACCAGAAAACCAGAAGTGGTGCTGGGTGGCTCAAAGTGTGCAGGTCCTGAGTTCAAACCTCAATTAAAAAAAAAGATTTATTCAGAGAATTTCAGGTACCAATGGCTCACACCTTGTCACCCTTCTACTCAGGAGGCTTGAGACTTGAGGATTGTGGTTTGAAGCCAACCCATGCAGGATAGTCTGTGAGTCTTTTATCTCCAGTTAACCATCAAAAGGACATAGACTACGGCGGTTCAAATGGTAGAACACTAGCCTTGAGAGCAAAACCTAAGGGACAACATTCAGGTACAGAGATCAAGCCCCACTATAATTTGCAACTTTTTTTTACTAATTTTTTTCTATTTGTTAAAAATGAGTATATGAACAACCCTGAACGGCATAGACAGTTTTTTTCCTGGCATGATTTAAACATGTAAAATCAGGAATTTACATTTAGTACAGTGTATGAGTACTTTTGCTTTGACAAATATTCACTAGGTATACTGACAAATACAAAGGACTTTTTTTATAGAGAAATGATTTACCTTTTTATATTAAAACAACAAAGTCTACTCATTAACAGCCAACTATATTTTCTTTTTCAAGTTGCTGTTTTATAGTAACAGATTTTCGTTTGGAGTAATAGGTTTCCAAAGATTTTTTTTTTCTGTCAGTCGTGGGCCTTGAACTCTGGGCCTGAACGCTGTTCCTCAGCTCTTAAGCTCAAGGCTAGTGCTCTACCACTTGAGCTACAGTGCCACTTCCAATTTTCTGGTAGTTTATTGGAAATTAGAGTTTCATGGACTTTCTTGCCAGGGCTGGCTTTGAACCGCTATCCTAGGATTACAGACTTGAGCCACCAGCACCCAGCAGATTATTTTTAAATTTTAAGAGATTAGCACTTTCATAAAAGCAGTTTATATCACAAAGACACTGATTGTAACCATGAAACAACTATAGTAGTTGTAGTTATGTTGGAAAAATATCTGCACATTGTAAAATATGGAAGTTTCTGACTATGGACTGGTGTTTAGAACAATGATAAAAATCTACAGAAGTTCTTGTGTTAACCTTTTGTATAGGAAAACAAAACAAAAACAGAACTACCATTTATTTTGCTTGGGATTGTCTTCCATCCTCAGTTCTCCCAGATATCAGCCTCCTGATTATCTTGGAATACAGGTATGAACCACCAGCACAACCAGCACACTGTATCAGTGGTAGAATATTTGAAACTCAAAAATGATAGAAAACATAACTTGTTTATTTTACTTGGAATATTTTACAATTATTCATAGTTTATTTAACTAGAAGGCAGATGATGATTTAAGAATGTGGTCAATTAAGAGGCCACTATATAAGTTTGAAGAACTTACTAGAACAATATAAAGTAATAATTATGTTAACTACAGTATTTCATATGTTATACATTGATTTTTTTTCAGAAATTCAGAGAAATTTTACCAACAAAAAAATCCTTAAGAGTAAATAATTTCACAAAAAAAACCTCTGATAAAAACTCAAAAGTTTCATGTAGGAAAAAGCTAATATATTTAGACACAATTTCAATTAAGTACATGACAGAAATATACTAGGTTAGCAGGGCACTGGTGGCTCACGCCTGTAATCCTACCTACTCAGGAGGCTGAGATCTGAAGATTGTGGTTCAAAGCTAACCCTGGCAAGAAAGTACATGATATTCATCTCCAGTAAGCCACCAGAAAACCAGAAGTGGAACTGTGGCTCAAGTGGTAGAGCCTTGAGCTGACAGTGCCCAAGCCCAAAGTTCAAGCCCCATGACCAAAAAAAAGAAAGAAAGAAAGAAAAAAAGAAAAGAAATAAACTAGATTAATGTAGAGGCACACTAAAGAGCCCCAGGTTAGTATTTGAACTAAGAAGGACCTTGTACTTGTTAGGCTGGTACTGTTAGCTTTGAGGTTCACTTTAAGGTGTCAATGGTATCCTTAGAACTGTGGCTAATTTTGGTGAAATCTAGTTTATTTTATTTTTTGTGTTTTGAGTAACATTTAGGGAATTGTTGCCTAGACAAAGCTGTAAAGACTTTTTTCCCC